CCCATAAAAAGAACCGGATGACTCTATAATGTTGGCCCTTCTTCACGATAATTTTTCTGGGCCCTCAAAGACGCGTAATTACTAATCCTTACTAATAAACGGAACCGATAACTTTAACCGAAAAATAAGCCACTCGGAAGTGGATAAGGGGCTCTCACTCTCTCGCTCTTAGATTCTTACTCACGGATTTTAATTCAACGTTGTAGGAGTCTCGCTGTTTACAGATCGTTTTTAATGTTCCTAACGAACATCCCCACATGTTTGTTACAAGTTTCACTTTAAGATTTTTAGAGAAGTTATTCCTTTCTCTTTGACTGAGGATATAGAAGTGATTTTACTAAGATGAGATTTGAATATCTTAGGGCTGCTTAGGGCTCACGCGTGGGCGTACACACTCTAGTTTCTGAGGGTAGGATTGGTTCATTAGGAATGGTGGTGAGGAGAGAAGCGAATCGGTTGGTTTCAGTTCAGTCGGGGAGCCTCGAAAGTCGTGATTGGATTAGGAGCAATTAAGGGTGCAGCTGTATTTTACTCTTGAGAAAAATTCTGTTCTCACGGAACGTTAGAATTTGGAAAACGTCATTTGACACTTATGATTTTCGGGTTTCTTGGTTTCGCCGTGTTCGGTTTACAATTTCAGGATGCTAGTGTTTATCTTAAAGATTTAGTTAGTTCTTTTTCATGTTTTTGGATAATTTATTATGCACGTATGCATACGACTGGTTTTCGGCTTCGTTTCAAATGTGGGAAAACTAGTTTTATGATTTTCTCAGGAAAAAGTGGTCTGGACACTTGAGTGTTATCTCTGTTTGAAACTAAATCATATTCTAATTTACTACGTTTGAAAAAATATAATTGGGAATTGGGACTTATATACTAATTGAGGATAAGACTCAATAGTCGATAAGGTAAATGAGAAATTGAGCTAGCGCCATCAGGTGGCTAATGGTAGGGACGTAACAAGTCCAATGATTTTTAGATGACCCAGTAGCGATATTAGGCCAAAATGTCAACCGGCCAAAATGTCGACCGGCCCAAAAAATTGAAGAAAGAAAAAAAAACAAATGCGGGCGCTACGACTTCAGGCTTGATGAGCATTGTTTTGAATGATTATGAGAATTCTTCCGGAGTTTTCTCATGAGATTGATTAAGGGTATGACTAGGGGTAGATTTCAGGGCTTTCTGGAGGATATTTTTTTCTTGGCATCGATGGATGGTATGGCTAGGGGGAGATTTCTGGGGTTCTTCGAGGGCACTTTTTTATTTTTTTTCCTGAGATTGGTGGAGGGATATGGCTAGAGGGAGGTTTCTGGCCTTTTTGGAGGGCATTTTTCGGGGTTTCTTTCTGGGATTGATCGAGGGTAAGACTAGGGGGAAATGTCTGGGCCTTTCGGAGTTTCTTTCTGGGATTGATCAAGGGTATGATTAGGGGGAGATCCCTGGGGTTTTCGGAGGTCATTTTTTGGGGTTCTTCCTGGGATTGATGGAGGGGTATGGTTCGGGGAAGGTTTCTGGGCGCTTTTGAGGGGATTTTTCGAGATAATAATAATTATTATTATTAATAATGGTTAATAATAATAATTTCACGAAGTTACTGTTTCCAAATGGATGGCAAAGACCCTACGCTGCTAATAGGGTACTCTACCCTCAGCCAGACAATGAAGAACTTCACGATGAGAATTATGAATCACATCCTAATGGCAATGCAATTATAAACGCTTTAAAAAAACTATCTTAGTACATTAGATTGATACTTTTGCATACAAGAGTGTACTATGTAACCCACAAAACGAAGCAGGGACTCATACATGAAAAAAAAAATCATATGACTGACAATTAACATGAAATTACTGACTAATAAGTACAGTTAATTTTATTTTGAGATAACACAACACTTAATACTCACGTACCTGGTACTTTGTTAAAAAAATTGGAAAGAATCAAATAATAAGGGTTTATCGATCGTTGCTCATTCATCACCGTTTACCATTGATTTCACCAATTATTTTTTTACATGAGGAAATTGAGACCAAAATGATTGCAAATGAACCTGAAGTGGACCCCTCATATGGGAAACAGCAGGAATCGGTGGGTGAGAATCAGAGGGTCCAATAAAAATTAGTCTTCAACATAGCAAGGACAATTATGACAATTATTGTAGCAACTGGAATGAATGGTGGCTTTTACTACTACATCAGAAGGGGATACATGCTCGTAGACTCCATAATACTCATTTCGTTATTTTTCCAGAAGTATCTAATGAATTACATCTACATTAATGATTAGAGTATGTCGCAGGTTCATTGTTAATCTATTCTTAGTCAAGTAAATGATAATACTCAGAGTGTCTTTATTTTTCGTACATTAAAATACTGATTATCGATTTTAAAGCGATTTCGGAGACTGAAACTTTAAATACTTAGGGTAAGTTATTTCTCAAGTACTTATTATAATTATCACAAATACATATCAAAACTACGATATGATATAACAATATAATGGTGAACGATATCTCATGATTATCTTTTTCTCATTTAGGTTATCCACTTATGGATTAAGTATAGAAAGGAGGTTGTAGGCAACATTTACCTCAGGATGAAAAAATAAGAAAGTTGTTTATATCGAAATTTTCTCCCTCGGGGAGTACACCAATGACTTGATAATTGATACCATCCATATCAATAATCCCGCTCCCTTCATTGTCAGTCTTCTGTCTCTTGCGTTTATTGTCCTCTTCAGCAATCGTTATCAACTCATCCCCAACCTCATCGTGTTGCACTGGTATAGAGATGGAAAAAACGTCTCCAGAATCTTGAACTTGGTTCGCTCCATTGTTTCTAACATTTTTAGCAATTCTAGGAAGAACTGTTTCCAATGAATTTTCAGGTACGGTACTTTCTCGTGATAATTGTTGCCCCCGTCAACCAGAAATGATTGAACTAGATCTCAGTAATGATTCCTCTGATCTTGAAGAATTCTGGAACTTCAGTTCTGGCTCGTCACGATCGTTAGACTGCGTTAGATTGGATGGCTGTGTGGGGGAATTTGTCTTGGTTCCATCTGGAGCATAAGGTTTTGGGACCTGTGCAGGGATTATGGATTGAGCATCGAATGGAGCGGGGAAATCGAACATAGCACTTCCATCTTCTTATGTCTTCATGTGCTTTGTGCTTGCATTAAACATCGTATCTGCTCTGTGCTCGTTGGATAAGTGGCAAGGAGGTGCAGCTGCCTGAGGGGCTCGACTAGTCGATGGATGATGTATTTCTCGTAAACCCTGAATTAACATAGCTGTCTGCTTGCTCATAATTTCGGCTATGCACCGAATCATAGCCTTGTCTGATTCCTGTTGCGCTTCCCTCATTCTTGAAAACATCTCCTCTTGTTTTTTTTTCACCCCATTTGTGTATTTTTCAAAGATTGATTGCTGGGTAACTGCTCGAGACCTTGATGATTTTACACTTGTGATTTTCTTTGCACCCACGATGAATCCGGTTCATCATTCTCTTTATTCTCGTGACGGTCTTCAGGCTCTGGCTTGCTTACATTCGAAAAATTTCCTTTTTGAAAATGAACTGCATTGTCCTCTGATTTTGAACACTTTTTCACAACTGAAAATATTAATTGAAAAACATGAAATCGTAGAAAAGCAAAACACTTGGATGGGTAAAAAAGAAGGTTGGGGGGAAGTCTGTTTGACTCAAGTATGAAATTAATAAATTATGATATAAAAGTGAAATGTGATCTTTTTTTAAATAAATTTCGAAATTGTTTCGATCACTCGTGATTGTAGGAAGAATATCAAGAGGGATTTCTTAAAATATTACTGAGGAAATGTCTCATTCATGAATTTCATAAGGTACGAAAGAGCTCTCTATGTCTGTCTTCCGAACATTCTATTTGGAATCTCGTCACTACACACATACCTCGATTATTAATAATATGTCTGGCATTGAATTATCATTCTTAAAAACCATTTTCAACCATTTCTCAGCCAATTATCATATTTTTCTTTTTATTTGTGGCAAAATATCGATCGAATTGACGCGAAAATATAGTTATTTTCCTGCATTTCGTCTCAAGTTTGAATTTCCGAAAAGCTTAGAAAAAAAAAAGAAAAAACAGGAACATGGTCGCACGATGATTAAATTCGCGAGTCATTAAATAATGATTTAATGCGAAAACGTTATAGTATTTCAGATCAATCCAATCAACTGTCTGCCTGAAATTGGCAAAAAAAAATTGTCCGATCTAAATTACCTTTTGCTGAATCTCCTGAGGAGTCAATTGCTGAATAGTTAAACCGAGGCGATTTTCCAAATACCGGAATTAAATCCTTGTAATAGGGGAACTCTAGGGCCATATCAGCGTCAACACCGTTTACACTGAGTCTGCTTTTCGTTGCAAAAAATGACCCTGGAATATTGGAGTATGGTGGGTGAATAAGAGTTATAAAGTTACAGAGATTAGATGATTCCATAGATTATTAATTACTCACCCTTTAAATTTTAGTCTTGTTCCCTCCCAATTTCTCCAACTCCGTCTTTATTCTAGTGAATATTTCGCACTGCCTGTTTTTTTTGGCATCGAATAATTTTAGCACTTGTATTTCGTCCATGACTTTGATAAGCAGCATCACCTGCTTATCTGTCCAGAATTCTTTCTTTTTCGGTGTGGGTGAATCTGTCATCGTAATTGCCTCAATTACAAATATCTTTAAAAAGAGAACATTCTGACGAGATGTTGAGCACTTTAGCACGATACGATGCAAAATGTCCGTCGTTCCACCTGTTACGTAACAGGTATCGTTCTCCTCGTTAGAAGATATGACGCAGTTGAAATTATTTACTCGCAATACATATGAGTCAACTAATCATATGTAAGGACTTTTCTGAGTATAGAGATAATTGAAAATGGAAAAAATAGTAGATTAAAAAAATTACCATTTTCAATTCTTTATTATAATTGAAAGGAAAAAAACAAAGCAGAATTATAAATTTACGACTTCTATTATTCAAGTTCCTCAGTTGAATCAAGAGTATAGGGCTGCCATGATATGATACCCTCAGTTCGAGAAAAACGATCATACCGTAACTGATGAGTGGTTGAGTGATCACACGGTGCGAGAGTAAGTAAATTATCCTCGTATATATCAAAAGTTAATTGAATCAGGAATATTGTTGACTTTCCAATCTTTTCTTATACAATCCCTGACTGACTTCTCCAACTCCACTTGATAACGATGAAATAATTACATAATTAATTCACCCCTATCATATTTCATTTTTTTCCATCCCACGCGTCTGCACTCATTTTACTGCATGCCTAGAATCTGTAACTACCATTTTGTGATGAAGATAGTGCTAATTTAACTGAAATTTTGTATCAGGACGGGTTCACAGTTAACCACCATAACTTTGCTAAAACAAAAACTCGGTTTTCATTATGAATCCCATCGAACACGACCGACTGCTGCTAGCGCAATTAGCATTAAAATACATTGTTAAATGTGGCCACGGCAAAAATGATGTCGCAACAGTGCTAGCTCGGATGAATTCGTGGATATTATTAACAAAAATGTACAACCTTCTCAGAAAAGGGATTCATAAAAACGAAGTTCAATTGCAAGAAGAGTGGGGAATTCGGGAACAAAACAAATGTTCATTTTACGAGAATCTAAGGGAGGAGTTGCCTCTTGGTGGTGAGAGACGAGGTCCTCCAAAGACTAAACACCCTATCAAGAGAAGGCAGTTGAGAACAGTTCAGGTACATCCGATAACCTCTGACGAGACAATATCATTATCTCTAGTTGTATCCTCTTTCCTGTAAACACCCACTCATTTAAGAATGTCTGTGAAACTTATTTTTTTACAACCAGCAGTATCATCTAACCAGTGATTTTTTATTCTGATAGGCAATGAAGCTACGCAGCCAGCAGCATCCCACCTGGGAGACCGGAAAATGATTCCGAGCTAGGAAATTTGAACTTGCCATCAACCTCCAAATCAGTCATTCCATTGATTCCTTCACAGGTACATAACTCAAATCTTCCCCTGGGACTTTTGAATCTCTTTCTTGTTAACTGAAAGGGCAAACTTAAGGGGATAGGGCCCTGAAATTTGAAAGTCACGGCCCGGCCTCGGGAGCCATTGGACGACTTTTGGTATATGAGGGGATATATAAAAAAGTTGAAAAAAAATCGGACCCGACCCGTTTTGCCCCGTACATCCACCAAAAAAGTCATTTTTCGCGTTTTTACACTAAAAATGCTCCTTGGACCGTAGTTCTCAACCGATTTCAAAAATTTTTTTTTCAAATTTTCGTCACACTTCAAGGAACAAACCCAAGTATCCGTTTTAGTTTATATGCAATAGATCATTAGAAAATGAATTTTTTACTTTTTTACTTTTTTTTCGTCATTCTAACAAATCCTAAAATCCATTATTTTTTGTTATTGAACATTGCAATCGCATGTAAACGAAATTTTACAACAAAAAAAGACGATATAATTTTTGAAGTTGAAAACAAGTCTAAAATGGTGCTCATGCGCACATGCGACGATTTGAACGTCTGCTATAATTATAACCAACCGATGGCGCCACTGAAAACTCTTGAAGTGTCGTGTGTGTGTGAAATTCTGTCATCAGTAAAGCGTTTGTTTTTGTTGTGAAATACTGATAAATACAATTGAATACTATTTCAATGGGACAATTTACTAAAAAGGAGAGGAAAATTGTTACATGCAATAAAGCTAGGAAAATCAAATCTCAGAAAGGCATAAAGACAAGATGGGAAAAAGCAAAACGAAGAAAAAAAATTACCAACGATAACACCGCTATAACCAGTGACAGTTTTAAACCAACAATCATGGGNATAACCAACCGATGGCGCCACTGAAAACTCATGAAGTGTCGTCTGTGTGTGAAATTCTGTCATCAGTAAAGCGTTTGTTTTTGTTGTGAAATACTGATAAATACAATTGAATACTATTTCAATGGGACAATTTACTAAAAAGGAGAGGAAAATTGTTACATGCAATAAAGCTAGGAAAATCAAATCTCAGAAAGACATAAAGACAAGATGGGAAAAAGCAAAACGAAGAAAAAAAATTACCAACGATAACACCGCTATAACCAGTGACAGTTGTAAACCAACAATCATGGGGTATATACATTCTCCACCGGTGCAAATGGAATGTGATGAACACAACGATAACGGAGACGACAACGCTGGTCTGATGAACAATTACGATGATGGAGTTTCAGAAAATTCCTTCAGTGCCCAAGAGATTTCTAACCTACAAAACCAAAGTCCGGAGTATTTCCCATGCTTCGATGCGGCCATGGATGATAGCCCATTCGGGTCCCAAAATCAATTTTTTGGGGATGACAATGGTTTTTCCAATATTCCACCTTCGGATACACAGAGTGACACTTCCCATTGTTCTTCTCAGGCGACTGAAGAGTCATCGACAGAATCTGGCCCACAGACAACTCAGGCAACCAGTGCATTCGATAAGAAAGTTGGAGCATTTGAACCTCTCAGCCAAAGTACAATTACCAGTGATATAAATGATCAGTTCATGTTTGTCCAAATGTCCTGCCTTCAAAAATTATTTGAAGATGTGCCGTGCAGTGGTTGTGGGGCTAGGATGCTTGAAGTGCAAATTGTAAAAGTGTTTGGAGCTGCAGCGAAACTGAGGGTGGAGTGTGTGTGTTGTAGTGACATAATGAGTCAAACATATACGAGTTCGCGTGTTGACACTACTTCTCAAAGACCACCGTTTGAAATCAACAAAAGAATGATCGATGGATTCCTTTCATGTGGTTTAGGTCATGCTGCCATGAAAAAGTTCGCTGTATCTGTAAATACCAGTATCGTCCAGGAAACAAATTACAAGAAACACTTCACAGCATTAGCCAAGCAGTACGAAATGATGAGGGACGAAGTATTGTCTAAATCGCGAGCTGCAGTGAGAAAGTTTTACATGGCGTTGGATCCAAATTTGACGGATGATTCGATCATTGATATTTGTATGAGTTTCGACGGCTCGTGGCATAGACGAGGACACATATCGTTATATGGAGTAGCAGCAGTCATTGACATCCTGACAGGAATAGTAGTTGATTATGCGGTGTTATCAAAGTACTGTCATATGTGTACTGTAACTGCAGAAGAGTTGGGTAAAGAATCGCCAGAGTTTCACTTTTGGCAAGAAGAGCACAAGAAGATGGGTCAATGCAGTTGCAATCATGAAGGTTCTTCAGGGTCGATGGAAGTCTCAGCTGCAGAAATTTTATGGAAGAGGTCAATTGAAAACTGCCAGATGCGATATACGACTATGCTTTCTGATGGAGACTCTAAAGCATGGATTGCCTTGCAAAAATTGGCTCCTTATGGACCTGAGACGCCGATAGAAAAAGAAGAGTGCATCAATCATGTGGCAAAACGCCTAGAAACTGGATTGAAAAAAGTGGCCCAAGATTCTAAGAAAAACGGTATCAACATTGGAGGACGTGCTGAGGGTGCATTGAAAGAAACTACAATGGTTGCTCTGAAGAATTACTTCCGCAATGGAATCTCGAGAAATTTCCATTCTGTTGAGAATATGCGGAGGAAAATTCTAGCAACATTGAAACATTGCTCATCAACTAATGCAGACCCTAACCATGGTGATTGTCCTGATGGACCAGACTCTTGGTGCTTCTACAATAAGCGACTGGCATTGGGCTTGAGCTCAGGTGACCATAGCCAGATGAAGGTCAAATTGAACAACGCAGTGGTCTCGGCCATTTGTCCCCTTTATGAGAGACTCACCAGTACCGAGTTATTGTCAAGATGCAGTCGGGGAGGCACTCAAAATAGCAACGAAAGCCTCCATGCAGTCATCTGGAGCAAATGCCCAAAACATACAATCCCTCAGTAAAATTCGTATTGCCATCACTACTGCTGTTGCAGAATTCAACATGGGTTTTTATAAAACTCAGAAGATAAAAACATCACGAAATAAACGTCCACTCAGTAGCAGCATCAAAGGGATTCTGAAGCAGAAAGACAAAATCCGCAGTTCCCACAGCCAAAAACAAAAAGAGATTTCGAAGAAAAAAATCAAAAGAAAATTGGAAGCTCGTAAGAAGGCAGCGGAATCGACTAAAAAAAAGAAAGAGGGCCCTGCATATGCCGCAGGAGCATTCTAAAATCTTCTACTGATGCAACCTGAGGTAAGATACTTTCGACTTCATCTGATTCTCATTCATCCCTTTTCATTTGTTCAATGAAATGAGAATTTCCGTACTGAGAGTTCATTCTAGTTGTTTTATTTTCAGTTGAGGGTTTCACAATGACATTTGAAATTAGGAGTGATGGACGTTTGAGGAGTTTGATTGACCTACTCAGAGAGAAATGTGTGGAACAATGGATATGTATTGTGGAAAATACCGCCAAATAAAGCTTCCAACCCATTTTATATTGGACCTGCTATTTTTTCATGGCCACCCATTTTTTTGTCATCAAATTTCGTTTATATGCGATTGCAATGTTCAATAACAAAAAATAATGGATTTTAGGATTTGTTAGAATGATGAAAAAAAAAGTAAAAAAGTAAAAAATTCATTTTCTAATGATCTATTGCATATAAACTAAAACGGATACTTGGGTTTGTTCCTTGAAGTGTGACGAAAATTTCAAAAAAAAAAAATTTTGAAATCGGTTGAGAACTACGGTCCAAGGAGCATTTTTAGTGTAAAAACGCGAAAAATGACTTTTTTTGGTAAATTTACGGGGCAAAACGGGTCGGGCCCGATTTTTGTTTACTTTTTTATATATCCCCTCATATACCAAAAGTCGTCCAATGGCTCCCGAGGTCGGGCCGTGACTTTCAAATTTCAGGGCCCTATCCCCTTAAGTAGTACTCCTCTTTTGGTTTACTCTAGACAACAGCAAGTGGTGTACCACCCACAGTCTTGCAGCCAACTGAAATGAAAGAAAATATCAATATCCAAAAGAAGACTACCAATTCTCATCCACAGGTTCTCTCCAGTCGTGTGCCAGGCCCTAAAATTCTCACTCACTCAAACCAATGTGCAGTCACCAACTCTTGGTCCTCTAATTCAAATCTGACTGACATAAAACTAAGAAACGCTGTGTTAGAATATAAAATTTTGGTAAAAAATTCGAGAAAGGAAACAGTGAACTTAAGATTTTACACGCTGATTTACAAATGAAAGAAATTATGCTAGCCGAAAAAAAGGGACAAATGAATATCCGACTCTGATAAACCAATTTTAATCCTCGGGACAACGAAATCCATTCTAAATAGATCAACCTTTACGAGGTGATTTTTTTCGAATAACTCATCGTTGGAAAAGGATAATTCTTATTATTCAAATCAGATATATTCCAAGCCCTTCAGGGTATGTGATTTTGCCTTTCTCCATTGGCACAACATAGAGAGTGTTGATAGAACACAAAGATTAAAAACTCGATTTTTTCGTAATCCTTTTTTATCCTTAAACAGAGTGATAGATTGACTCCTATTAACAGTTTCTGCGAAGCTTATGCATTTCCCAACTTATAACTAGTGAGCATAAATAGTATTCGGGGAGGAGCTATAAAAGCGTGACAGATTAAGTCTGATTTTTTAAAGCAAAAACTAGATATAAACAGAAACTATGTTTATTAACAACTTCTTTTAGTCTATTAGAAAAAAAAAATGACGAATTAAGTAAATTTTTCTTGAATAAATGATTCGTTTATACTTGTGATAAAACATTATTATAAAAACAAAATGATAATACATATGATTATGATGAAAAAACTATACTGCTATCCAAATTGGTCTTGAGCCTTTCGTTTTCCTTCCTAATCATATAAAAATCAACTCTGAGCAAGTATTTCCTCGTTGAAGAAACGATGAGATGGGATCGATATGGATCTTGAATCCCGAAAATCATACAAAAATTTACAAAATTCATATGTACAAATTTTATTCGATAATGGCTGTGCGGTCGAGCGTTCCTCGTGAGAATTCAAAAAATTGAAATATGATTTTTCCAATTTCTTCTCTTCAAAACAGTAGGGGAGGATGGGGCAAAACGGCCCCCCTTCAATCGTCAATATTTTCCGATTCAATAATCCGATTGGGATGAGTTAGAGCTCGTTTTGAAGAATGAAAAATTATCTTCAAAATGAAGTTGAAACAGGGGATTTTCACAATGTCATTCAAAAGTTATTGACAATTGAAGGGGGGCCGTTTTGCCCCACCCTCCACTATCTTTAAATTTTTAAGAAAATTCGGGTTTTTTTAAATGTTTTACACGGAATATTTCATAATTTTTCATCACACTGTGTGTAAAGCTGACTTTTACACACGCTACGTGTGCGCAAAACCCGACTTCACACGCATTGTAATGAGAAATAGGGTTCGATACTCGTGCGAAAAGTGTTCTTTGACCCGTGGGAAGGTAGCACTCGCCTTCGGCGAGCGCTGCACACCTCCCACGCGTCAAAAACCACTTTTCCGCACTCGTATCGAAAGGTACTATTTCAAACAGCCTTCTAAACCTTCAGGTGATTTTTTTAGCCCTCCTTATTTTCAAAAAAAAAAAAAAAAAGAGTTCCCGAGGAGTTCGCGGAATCTACAGAAAGATCTAAAACTTCCTTCGGTCCATCCTTCTAGATGCAATTTAGCCCAATTTATGGTTGAAGTTCTCACAAAGAGCCCAAACAAATTAATAGTGAAAATCAAATACGTTAAATAGTTGTTCCATGGAACGCAGGCGAGAAAAGCCAATCGATTTATCATATCAAAGAAGAAGAAAATTGCACGGGCATTGAATTCAATACTAAATTTATAATCAAACTTTTGAATAATGCGCTGTTATGCCCCAAAAAGATGTATACAAATTCTCACTTTGATCCGGATAATATGATGACACGAAAGTGGCACGTATTATTCGAAACAAAACGTTGAGAAATGAATTAAGAAATAAAAACACACATCGTAATATTCGTGCGTTAAATCCACGATATTCCGATGTGAGTGAGTAACCGGAGTGCAGCGTCAGCGGATTCCGCTCCGGCTACTGGCCTACTGTACGTTACACCTTGCAGGTGTGACAAAGACAGTGATCCGAATATACGAGGTGAATAAATACTCGTGAATTCGGATTCTCTGGGCCAGTAATACGACGACACTTTTATACTTATAGCTTCTTTGTATTTATGTTCGCCTGATACCTTTCGTATCAGACCGAACTTTCAATTGTTAATTATAGTATTAAATAATCGTTTAAAATCAATCTCAATAAAGATTTATTAATTGCTAATTATCGCGAGTGATATTCCCTACAACTGAACCCATCCGCTCGGGTCCATAACATTTAGGTGGCAGCGTATCTTTTGGGACGACAGAGGCCTGATCAACCACTGTCCTATCACAAGGTGATATAGTACGAGGTAATATCTAGAAGATTGAACTACCTGAGAGTAGACTGGTCAACATCCAAAACAACCCTGCATACTCAATCGTATTAAAAGGGCTTAAGAGAGAAGTAGCTACACGGTAAGATTATTTATTTTGGCCAAAGTGATAGATAATCAAAGATGTCAATTGAGGGAACGAACGGCAATCGGCGGGAGGAATCTCCGTCCGACTCCTATTCTCTCATGGGGCCGGGATTCAGACGAGAATTGTTCGGATCCGGTGCCAATAATATTAACACACGGCGGCAATATGCACAGTCGTTAAATTCCAGCATGCTGGCTAGTAATCAGCAGCGTGTGGAAGCTGAGGTTCATCACGCAGATGATGACATACCAGACGAATTACCGGGGGTAAGTCAGGCAAATAGCACTCACCGTAACTCAAGGAGATCTTTGAATAATCCCAATAACGGTGGAGGCACACGGCCTGGCAATCCTTCCCGTACGAGAAACCAGGTTCCTGGGAATCCATTTGAGGAGGACTTGGACGCAATTCACGAATTTCCGGAAGAAGAGAACTCACGAGAGAGTTTTTCTACTCCATCTAACGTTTTCTTCAAGGCAGGAGCGTTCGCTGCAGGAGGATTTCGTCCTGATGCGGGAGGAGCAAATGGGGATCGTCAAGAAGATGCGGCAGATGCAGTTCCAAATGCATCACAGCCGGTTGGAGGGCGACCATCCCGGCGCACCGACCACATCAGGGACAAAATTAATGACATATACGATAAGGTGAGGAATCTTGAACGGGAGAAACGTGAAGTCCACGAGGAAATGGCTCAACGTGTTCTATCAGAAAGGCGCCGTCGAGAGGAGGCAGAAAAAAATTGCGAAGCAGCAAGAGACCTCTTAGAACAGGCCTGGGAAGAACAAGATGCACGGTGCATCAACAAATCGACTGTGAGGAGTCACCTGGATTTAAAAGGTGCACTCCAAATGGTGCGAAATTTCGGGGGAGAGAACGCTGATAAATTAGATTGTTTCCTAAAATCAGTGGAAAGTGCAAAGAAATTAATTTATCCAGAATTACAAGAATTCTTATTGGAAGGAATTCTCGGGAGTAAACTAGATGGGAACGCAATGAAACAAATCAAACACAGGACAATTACTTCATTCGAGGAATTGAGAACTGTGTTAGAAATGCTGTTCGGAAAAACAAAAAATCTCGTTGGGTTACAGATGGAATTCAGTAAACTACAACAAAGGGACAACGAAGATGTCACTAAATTTGCGAGCCGCACAGAGGAAGTCACAGTAGATTATTTGAATGGTCTTCTTGGTCTTCTTAGTCACTTCTCGGAAAGGGAGAAAAGGGCTGCGAAAGAGGTTGTGGAGGCTATGGCTAAATTGGTCTTCGAACAGGGCTTACGTGGTCAACTCCAAATTTTAGTCCGATCAAACCACTATCAAACACTTCACGAGGCCTGTGCAGGAGCCATAGAATTAGAGAAAACGGTTCCTGGCTCCTTTAAGGGCAAAATCGGTGGTTTTACCGGACCTCAAAAAACTTCCACGGGAAATAACAGAGGCTCTTTTGGTCGACAATCCACTGGAAACTGTTTCAATTGTGGACAATCTGGTCACCTTGCAAAAGACTGCCGTACTTCGCAAGGAGGTCAACGCAAATCAACATTGCCGGTTGCGTCAGATCGGCGAAGCGTCAATGCATTTGGCACTGTTTGTAAATATTGCCGTTATGCAGGGCACGAGATTACAGACTGCCGAAAACTGAAGAAACGATTGGGAATACCAGAATCGCAAAAAATTCCTGCGGAGTTTGCAAAACCCGATATGAAGCAAAATAACGCAGCTAATAATAGTAACAGCCAAACTTCTAAGAAAAAGGCTGATAAAACAGAAAATGACAGGACGTTACCCATGGGGACATATCAGGTGATGACGATTAACCCTTCAACAGGACAGAAGAAAGATCTTCAAGGGGACAGCAAAACCATGATCAAACCAGCGCAGTTGGCAGAGATAAAAACACAGATTTTTCTCACAGCGGAAGAATTGAAGCAGCCTACTATGTTCCTGGCTGATTCTGGAGCAAAGGCTTCCCTTGTAAGGAGAGACAAACTGTCCGAAGGGGTCGAGATTAAACCTGGAAGTCGATTTCTGAGGGGAATTTCTAACCAAGACGTCGCAACCCTGGGTGAGGTCAACCTTTTCTTGAAAATTGGAAATAAATACCTGGGACATGCGTTTCAGGTAGTTCCTGAAACTTTCCCATGCATCGGGGGAATACTAGGGGAAGATTTTCTATCTTCACCTAGTTTGAAGGTGGAAACAGTGCATAGAAAGGCACTGATCATCAATGGACAACGATTTCAATTTTTTCAAGATAAGGAGCCTATGAAAATTGAAGCTAGGAGTGAGAAATTGGTACAAGTTTCCACTCGAAGCTCTGGCACGGGCATTGTCAGCCGGAAACCGCTGACATCAGGCATTTACATGGGTGAATGTCTTACTAAAGCCATTGATGGACAAGCGGTGGTGTGCATCATCAACACAACCGATAAAGATAAATTCGTCAATTTACCGACGGTGGAACTGGAGGAGTTACCATCACAGGATTTAATTATGATGTTGGAGAATGGAAAACAACCCGAAATCCAAGATCGCATCAAACTTCTACATGAGAATCTGCGTTTGACCGATCTCAATAAAGAGGAGAAGCGCTCCATTTTGGAACTTTTGGAGGAGCTCAACTCAATTATGCATTTGCCGGGTGACACTCCGGGAATTACAGACCATCTGGAGCATGAGATCCCGCTTAAACCTGGCACAGCACCCATCAACGTCCGACCTCATAGGTTACCGGAGTCTCAGATGGGCGAAGTTGACCGTCAGGTTAAGGAGATGCTGCAAAATGGAGTTGTGCGTCCGAGTAAAAGCCAATGGAATGCACCTTTGCTGGTTGTGCCTAAGAAAATGGACGCATCTGGGAAGGTGAAATTCCGTGTTGTCGTGGATTTTCGTCGTTTGAACGAGGTCACGGTGGGTGATTCATTTCCATTGCCTAACATCTCTGACATACTGGATCGTTTGGGCAACGCAAAGTATTTTTCAACTCTGGATCTGGCTTCAGGCTTTCATCAGATACCTGTGAGGGAGGAAGATAAATGCAAAACAGCATTTTCTACACCATACGGGCATTATGAATTTAATAGGCTGCCTTTCGGAGTGAAAGGTGGGCCAGCTACGTTCCAGCGATTAATGAAT